ATTTCTTTGACAATAATTAGTAAAACCTATGAATGGATGAAAAGTTTGATTCAAACAAATGATACAATTTTTATCGTTAATAGCATTCAAAACATTGATTTCCGAAAACAATTCACAATTAATTTGATTATTATTTTGTAAACTATTTATATATTTATCACATTTTTTGGCCAATAATTTATATCTCAATAACTCTGTTGTCAAACAATTGTTTTCTCGCTTCAAGTCATTGATCATTAAATATAACTGTCTTCGACTTAAGCCATGGATATCACCACTAATTGATCCCATGTTTTGACAATTAAATAACAAAACAATTAATTCAAAGTAAATCAACAAAAATGTAAACAGAGTTCACACGTGTATAAAACTAGTCATACATTACGTCCGGAAAATAACATTTACAAACTAACGTAAACATTAACTTTGAATACTTTCAGAACCAGTTAAAGTATCTATGTCAATTTTATAATCAACTATAATATTAAAGTTATACATTAATAAATAATATAATTATATCTAATAGCACTTGCTTTTCTAAACTTATAATATAAAGGTAATTTTATTATTTTAAGTTGTATACAGTATATTCTAGTTCTATAAAAAAAAAGTTAATGTAACCTTACCTACTTAATTATTTTATTTATAACTATCTATTTATAAAAACACAAACTTATAAAACAATATAAAAATAAATTAAATGTCACAAATATTTTATAATAAAAACATTTTTAGCTAAACTTTTATTTTTAAATAGATCTTTTAATATATGTAAATATTACAAATACAGTAAAAACATACTAGTTTATTTTTGGCATTCAATATGAAATGGATCATTGGTATTTTGGGTGCGTTGGCCACGGGTTTTATGTCGAGCCATCGGTCGAGCCTAAGTGTGGCCATTGTGTCGATGGCTAAGTATAATAGCAGTGCCATCGCTATAGTGGACACAGAGTCGGGACAGTGTTTAGTTTCCAGTGATAATTATAAATTAGTTAACAAACATATTTTAGTCAATTATATGTAAATCATAATCATTAATAAATTTATTTATTTGTTAATACATGTTAATGATTTGCGTAAATAAATATTCATAATATTGATTAAATTATTTAATAAAACTTTATAATAAATACATTTCCACTAGATAATATTGATTTTTTTATTAAAATAAAATACAAACAAATCATCCATCATAACATCTATTTTATGTACACAATCAACAATACATACATTACAATAATTTAGTTTATTTTCAATAAATCAATAATGATTAATTTGATTGAATTTGATAGAAAAGTCTAATGTTATAAGAATATACTAAAAACTAGCATTACGTTTAATACAGAGCAGTTTGACACATAATAAATTCACAAATTGTATCTAAAAATTATAACTTAAACATGGATTCAAAGCCAATGTCTGGTCTGAAAACACTGGTTAATTACCAGAGAATAACCGGAATTTCATATTTTAACTTTAATTACTGCCGAAAACAACCCATTTATAAGAAAGTATTGCTATTAATGTGGAATATATTGCTTTTTATAATAATTATTAAAATATTCCATGATTTGATTTACACTTTTTTTACTCAACCCAATCCAATGCCAACCCATGAGTCTAAAAAGCCTCAATTAATTAATATACTGTATTATTTTGGAATGTTTTACTATATAACAGCTCCGCTTTATACGTGGTTATTGCTGTTAACACGTGGTAAAAGTCTGTTGGAGTTTATTTACCGAAACAATTGTCAATTAGCCGTTGATTCTGGAGTCGAGCGTTGGATCGGTATATGTATTGTCGCCATAAGTATTGTAATAGGAATTGTGGTCGAAATGTCTTACACCGTTTTATTTTATATTAAAACTAAACAAACAATTTGGTTATCATGTTATGAATTGATTACTAATTTTATAACGTTTAACGCACAGATGAGTGTCATGGCTCTCATTGGTTACCAGTGCTGGTGCTGTAGCCACACCATCGCCAACCTAACCACCAAACTTACCACCAAATCAATGGACAACATCGAGCTTATATTCCAACAAATATTAAAAATCAAGCAAATATTTAGACAATTAAACTCGTTCATATCAGCATATTTGCTAATTATTTTAGCCGTAAACATCAATAACTGTGTGGCCTCTCTATGTATGCTATATCTATCGCCCAAAACCACGTATGACTTTTGTGTCAGTACTATATTAGAAACGCTATCTATTATATCAATCCTTTGTTTTGTGGCCGATATTATACCCAAAAGTATTGGCAAAATGATTGACAGATTGGAGGAATTGGAGTCCAATTCCGAGACATTATTCTTGAGGACAATCGCCGAACAATCGGCGCCACAACAAGAGTCACATCAACTCATCTACTATTCACTTATCACTCGTCTCTATGTATTACGCGATGAGTTATGTTTGTCGGCATTTAATTTGATCAGGATCAATGGCAAAACATTCATCTCATAACGAAGTAATTAGTAATCAATACAGCACTAAGAATATGTTTGGTTAATTTATTAACAGCATAAAATTAGTTAAACACAATGTGACGAATACTAGTTCAACAAATGTAGATAGCTAAACGAATTTAAAATAACACTTAAATGTAAAGTTAAATAAATAACACTTTATTTTAATCACATTTCATTAAAATAAATCAACTACATAAATTAAAATTTCATTTAATAAAAACTATTATATGTCCACAAACACTAAATTATTGCTAAAATATTATTTAAATGTATAATAACATATTATTTATTTTTAATAACTTAATAATAATGTTAAAAATGAATTTATAAAAATGTCAATAAAAAATAATTAGCGATTTATAATCAATGATTTCTTATAAAAATAAAAATAATGATAAATGAATTACAATAGAAATTATTTAAATATTTCCAATATTATATTTAATCATAAAACATTCAAAACCTTCTATATATTTTTTACTAAAATGTATTAAATTAATATTTAATAATTACTAATCATGTAAAACACACTCAGAAGTATACACGCAGGTAAACTGGTGTAAAACTACAGAATATTAGTGTAGGGCATACTCTCGTGACCATCAGTAGGTTTGGGAGCACAACAGATACCTATACTAACTTAAGTCGAATACCATTTGTGGTCTTATAATCACATCCGGGCCAATGGCACTGATAGTCAGCCATCCCTTTATGCATTCTCTTCACGTGCATTACTAAAGAACGTATATTAGTGTAAGTGTGTCCACAACCGGGCCATTCGCACGGGTGGCTAACGTTAGCCGTATGTGTGTTCATGTGATATCTTAATTGATGTTTATATACAAATAGTCGGTTACACTCCGGCCAATCGCACCGCAATTTGGACGCGTCGTTATGTATGCGCTTGTGTTGAGTTAATATAAACTTTTCTTTGCATTTTAGTCCACACGTGTCGCACGCGTATGGCTTCGGGTGTGTCTTCACGTGCTTTTGAAGGGCCACTCGAGTGATGGCTACGAACGGGCAGTCAGTTTGCGGACACTTTAACGGCTCATTCAAGTGTGACATTTGATGGCCTCTGAGTCTACGAAGTTCTTTGTATGTCTCATTACAGGCGCCCATAAGACATACGTATCGGCCGTCGGATCTCTTTTTAAACGCCATTGACTTCTGGATCTTCGCATTCAAGTGCTTAAACTTGTGCTCACGTATGCGTTGAGGGTAATTGAAGGACAGACCGCAGCCCCTGTAGTCGCACACATACTTCCCATTGCGGCACTTTTTCAGTCTTTTCTCACCCATCCATTCGTCGCACGATTTATAGTCCATTTCATTGTCACTCAAACCAATACTACATTCTTCTGGTTTGCTGTTATTATCTTCACTCTCCGCTAATCCGTGTTTTTGTTTGCCATTAGTTTCTGTATTTAATTCATTCACTCTTTGGCTATCAATTGATTCGTCATTTAATACATCTGCCAATACATTTCGACAACAGGTCTGCGACCACTTTAACGGGTCCTCCAAATGTGACATTAGATGTCCTCTGATTTGATCGATAGTTTTGCATGTCTTAATACATTCGCCCCAAAGACACACATATATGCCATCGGATCGGGTCTTAAAAGCCAATGATTTCTTAAGCTTTGCACTCAAATGACTGAATGCATGGTTTCGTAAACTTTCCGCCTTTTTATAGGACTTCTCGCAGTCCTTATAGTCGCACACAAACTCATTGTCGGGTCCTTTTCGGGTGGGTTTCCATCCAATCCACTGGTCGTCCATTTTATCGTCACTCAAATCTGATCCATAATATTCTGCAAACGGCTCATTCAAGTGTGACATTTGATGGCTTCGAAGGCTATCAATGCGTTTATAGACCGCATTACAGGCATTCATAAGACATTCGTATCGACCGTCGGATCTATTCTTATAGATCATTGATTTCTTGGTCTTTGCGTTCAAATGTGAAAACGCATGACTTCTTTGAGCTGAGGGCCAATTGAAAGACATTTTACAATCCTTGTAATCGCACGCATACTTCCCGTCGGGTCCTTTGTCCACACCCTTCTCACCCACACATTCATCGCCCGATTTATCGTCCATTTCATTGTCACTCAAACCGGAACCGTATTCTTCAGTTTCGCTGCCATTGTCTTTACATTTAATTGATTTGTGTTTTCGTTTGGCATTAGATTTAGTGTTTAATTCACTCCCATTTTGGCTGTCATTCAATTCATTGTTCATATCGTCCTTCAAATCACGTCTATATTCTTCAGATTGGCTGTCATTGTCTTCGCTAACCATTAATGTGTAGTTTAGTCTAACATTAGGTTTACGAGTATTATATCGGATTGTGTTTAATTCAGTGTCTCTTTGATTATCACTTGATTCGCATATAATCTCTTCATTAAATTCAATAGTTTTATCATTTAATTCATTATTGATATGATTGTTGTCTGCATTGCTTTCGACACACATTTCTATAACTTCTGGCTTTAAATAAGTCTCAGATTTGGTTTGTGTTTCATCTGTCGTATTGTCGTTATTCACTAAATGGTTATCTTCGGCATCACTTCCAACATTTGTTTCATCATTAATATGACAATCGATGCCATCATTTGATTCATTGTCTTCAGAATCGACCACTTCTTCAGCGCTTGTCTTCTCTCTATTGTCTTGTGTTTCATGTCTTGTATTGTCTTCTCTTTGAATCAACTCTTCATTAATGAATTCATCGCTCGTTTGACCGAATAATTTGAGATCTGTTTCTAAAAAATAAATCAAAAGTTAATTAAAAGTAATTTCTTTGACAATAATTAGTAAAACCTATGAATGGATGAAAAGTTTGATTCAAACAAATGATACAATTTTTATCGTTAATAGCATTCAAAACATTGATTTCCGAAAACAATTCACAATTAATTTGATTATTATTTTGTAAACTATTTATATATTTATCACATTTTTTGGCCAATAATTTATATCTCAATAACTCTGTTGTCAAGCGATTCACAGATTGTTTCAATTCACACACAATTAGACACAATTCACGCCGACTTAAGCCATGAATATCACCACTAATTGATCCCATGTTTTAACAATTAAATAACACTTCAATTAAAACAAAACAATTAATTAAAAGTAAATCAAAAAATGTAAACAGAGTTCACACGTGTATAAAACCAGTCATACATTACGTCCACAAAATAACATTTACAAACTTAATACTAAAACTTTCAATACTTTCAGAACCATTAAGTTAAAGTATCTATGACATAAAGTATCTATGTCAATTTTATATGGCTGGACGGCTGGCCCGCAGTGTTTTACGTGATATCTGTGGCACACA